TTCTCTTTTGGTTGGTTTCAGAGAGGAAGGGAGAGGAAGAGAGAGAGAGAAACATCAACGATGAGAGAGAATCATTGATTGGCTGCCTCCTGCATGCCCCCCACTGGGGATCGAGCCTGCAACCGAGGCATGTGCCCTGATCGGAAATCACACTGTGACCTCCCGGATCATAGGTCAGCACTCAACCACAGCCCTGCTGGCCGGGCATGGTTCTTTTTTCCATCCCTACCATCCCCCCAGTCTAAACCTGTCCCCATTCCAAACTCTCCCACCACCTGTGTTGCCAAGCTAAGCCCCCAAACCTCATCCTCAATATCCCATCGCTTCTCTGCCTGGCTTCCAGGCTGTCATGGTCTCAACCCCTTTTCCCTGCACATCCTTATGGATTCTCCACTCTCGTTGGGCTGACTCCCCTTCCCCACTAACGTTCCTCTTCTGGACGTTGCCCATACTGTTCCCTGACCTGGAATGCCCTTCCAGGGGTCAGGCCAGGAGGCAAGGCATCAGGGTGAGTTGGCCCAGGAGGCTGGCAGCTGAGGTGGAGGGAAGCAAGCATGTGGCTTGAAGCTGTGGCTCGCTTGTTGGTTGGATGTGTAGGGTGAGGGAAAGGGAGAAATTGGAAATGATTTCTATATTTTTAAGTTGGGTGTCTTTGGGAATAATGATGCCATTTGCTGAAATGGGGTTAATGGGGGGAAGAACTAGGTTGGGAGGTCTGTATATTAATAATTACATTTGAGATCTAATAATAAACAAGTGGATAGATAAGAATAGAAAGTGAGTTCCACAAATAGATGGCTGGGCATGGAAGACTAACTCGGGCTAGGCCAGGACTCATAAAGTCAGGGGTCACTGCCTTGTGGATGGTATTTAAAGCTACAGGCCTGGATGAGACTCCAGTGAGAAAAAGAGCCCCATGAATGAAGCCCAGAGTCTCTGGGACCCTGGAAGTGGAGCAGAGGAGGAGATCCCAGCCGAGTCTGAGAAGCAGCCAGAGAGAGGAGGAAACCCAGGGAGGGTAGAGTTATGGAACCTAAGATAAGATACAGTTTCGCCCTTCCCAGTTTGGCTCAGTGGATAGAGTGCTGTCCTGTGGACCAAAGAGTTCTGGGTTCGATTCTGGTCAAGGGTATGTATCTCGGATGCAGGCTCCTCCCTGGCCCAGGCCCTGGTCGAGTGCATCCAGGAGGCAACCAGTTGTGTGTTTATCTCACATGAATGTTCCTCTCTGTTTTTCCCACTCTCTAAAAATCAACAGAAAAAAATATCCTCGGGTGAGGATTTAAAAAATAATAATAATGAAAAAAAATGTTCTTCAAATTAAAAAAAAAAAAAAAGACAGTTTCAAGAAGGATGTGGCTGTTTGAGTTGAAGGCCGCTGAGAAGTCACATGAGATGAGAACAGAGAAATGACTGCGGGTTTGCTAATATAAAAAGTCAACTTGTCCAGGGCAGTTCTGTGGCATAGTTAGGATGGAAGCCAGCACGTATTGGGTTACGAAAAAAAAATCTGAAGTAGGAACTGGAGACAGTGACAACCCTTTCCAGAAGTTTCTCTGTAACAGGAGCAGAGAAATGGGCCAGTAGGTGGAGGAGGATGTGGATCAAGGAAAAGTTCAGTCCTTTCAGGGGTAAGGAATACTGCGTGGATCTCAGTTAAAGACATTCTGATCATTTTATAGATGGAGGTCACTTAACTTGGCTGAGGCAATGGCGATACTAAGTGGTAGAGCTGGGATTCGGACCCACGTAGAGTGCACTTGTGGACTGGACATGGTCCATGTGAGCGCACCAGGCTGGAAACGGGGAGCCCTCAGAAATAAGAGGCTGGGAAGACACACAGTGAGATGGGGCAGGGCAGGCTGGAAGGGAGATGGGACAGAGCTATTTAAGTGGCAGAGTTGCTAGCAAGTGGTGATGATGGGGAATAAAGTTGGTGAAGGAGAGGGAGACATATACCTGGTGGGAGGTGGAACCATGAGCCAAACGTGGAATAGAGACAGCAAAGCAAGTTTGGAGTTTTCTTTTCAGAGAGAGAAGGGAGGGTGAGAAGGGAAGAAGCAGGGGGAGAGACAGAGAAAGAGAGAAAGAGAGAGATCCATGTGAGAGAGACATATCGACTGGTTGCTTCCTGCACCTGCCGGACCCGGGCAGGGAGTAAACCTGCAACTCAGGTGTGTGCACTTGACCAGGAATCGAACTCTGGGCCCTTTGGTGCACCAACTGATGCTCTAACCACTGATCCACACCAGTCAGGGTAGATTTTTTTTTTTTTTTTGTAATGGCTTTATTGAGATAAAGGTGATCTCACATACCATACAATCCACCCACTTAAAGTGTTCAATTAAATGGTTTTGAGTATATTGACACAGTTGTGCAATCATCACTAAAGTAATTTTGGAACATTTTCATTTCCTCAAAAAGAAAAACCTGTACCTTTTAGCCATGACCCCTGTTTCTCCAATCCCAAAGGCTGCCAGTGCTAAGCAAACACTCATCTACTTTCTGTCTCTATGTATTTGTATATTTGTATAAATGCATTCAGTCATAAAGGACAACATCTACTGTGTTGTCCTTTATGACTGAATACATTTAGCATAATGCTTTCATAGTTCGTAGCATTTCTTTTTAAGGCTGAACAATATCCCATTGTGTGGATATATACAATCTTCCCCGTCCATGCATCAGCTGGTGAATATTTGGGTACCATTTAAAAAAAAATTTTAAATCCAAGTAATGTGTGATTTAAGGAACCTATGTATACATCCCCAGAGGAAAAGAGGTAAACACCGTAGGCTCAAAACAGGAAAGCCCCCAGGCTTCTCCTCCAGCCCTGCTCTTCTCCCCGGAAGCGGCTGGTGACAGCTCGCCGTGTGTGGTTCTGGTTACTGAGGTCCGATGTTTTCACGTAACTTCCCATCACCCCGTGGGCTCCGGGGGCCGTGGGTCAGGCGGGCCCCCAAGGGTCATAAAGCGCAGGGGTGCCTGGGGAACGTGGAAGTCCTGGGAAGGGACTTTCCCCCTCTCTTTGAACTTCTACATTCAGGTGTGGACGGGACGGTGAGTGGCTGGGAGGAGGCCAAAATCAACAGCTCCAACCCACTGCGCTACGACCGCCAGAGCGGGGGCTTCGTAGTCACCCGGGCTGGGCTCTACTACCTGTACTGCCAGGTAAGCCCCGCCCCGGCACCGCGGGCACGGAGGAGGGCGGGGGGCGGGGGGCAGCTGGGGCTTGGGCTGGAGCGGACACGGGGTCTCAGAGGAAATGTGAAGCTGAGGCCGGGCCGGCGAGGCCCCCACTCGGCCACCCGCTCCCCCGTAGGTGCACTTTGACGATGGGAAGGCCGTCTACCTGAAGCTGGACCTGCTGGTGGACGACACGCTGGCCCTGCGGTGCCTGGAGGAGTTCTCGGCCACGGCGAGTTCCCACGGCTCGCAGCTCCGCCTCTGCCAGGTGTCGGGGCTGCTGCCCCTGCGGCCGGGGTCCTCCCTGCGGATCCGAACCCTCCCCTGGGCCCACCTCAAGGCCGCCCCTTTCCTCACCTACTTTGGACTCTTCCAAGTTCACTGAGGGGCCCCGGCATCCCAGTGGTTTTCCCAGGCTGCTGGCTCCCCACGACGGCTCTCCGAGCACCCCGTCCCCTGGGCCCCACCCTGAGCTGCTCCTCCCTCAGACTGGCCTCTCGCCGGGGAAGCTGCCAGGGCTTGTTCACGTGTTTTCCCGGCAACATCAATATCCCCACTCGTCTCTGAAAAGCCCTCTCCCCACCTCGGGTCCCCCACCTCGCTGGCTCCCAAACCCCCGGTCTTGGACACCCCCACTTGTCTCCAGGCGCCCCACCCTGGCTGCAGCCCCCTGGTACACTGTTTACTGTACTCTGGGTACCCCTCTCAGGCACGAAGAGAAGCTGGATACCATGAGCTGGGACTGGGCCAAGAGTTCCCAAATGTGAGGGCGAAGAAACCAAGCAAGTTCCTCCCCCGATGGTTCCCTGTGGATTTTTAAAACAGATATTATTTTTATTATTATTGTGACAAGATGTTGATAAGTAAAAACTAAAGAGAATAAGTCGTGGTTGCTGTCTTTATTGGGGTTCAGGGGACCTCCTCGGGGTAACCGAAAGCCCTGAGAAGGGGGTCTGGGCATGGGGAGCGGGGTGCAGAACACCCAGAGTTCCAGGTCCGCATGCCAACTAGTGAATGGGGACCCACATGCCTCTGGCCCCCGGGGTGCGAGCAGAGAGTGGGAAGGCAAACTGCCAGGAAACAAAATCGATTCCCTGCCCAAGGTCCAGCCGCAGCGGCCTCATTTACCTAGGAGGCGGGCCTCCTCCGGGGGGAATCCCTGGCGGGCGGAACAGGGCCCTTCCTGTTGGCAGCCACGGGACATGGGCAGGTGCTGGCACAAAGCCCTGGCTGGGATGTGAGGGGGTGGGGGGGAGGAAGCGGGCCTCAAGGAGGTTTCAGGGTCAGTAAGCAGCACATGGGGGCCCGGGAACTCGGGAACCTGGACCCTAGGATCCAGGGGAGGAACCCTACAATGGTAGGGTGCTTGGGGCTGCCTCCTCACTTCACCCAGAACCTTATGTAAGAGCTTTTCTCGGGAAACAGGAAGTCGCGTTTGCCAAGTTCAGCACAGAGAGCGGTGCAGGCCTTCTTCCAGCACACCCGGCCCGGCCTTAACCCCAGAGCTCCGCCGGCTTCTTGCTTCAGAGACCCCGGATCTCCGCGCTGGCCCTCTCCCCTCCCTTCCTACCTTCCGTCAGCCCGAGCGAGCTTCCCCGGAGATCTCTCCTAGGCCTGAGCAGAGGGTCTCCCGCCCTCATCCCCTGACCCTGCACACTGCCCAGCGTGTCCCTTCATCCCTGCTCCTGGCACCATGCCCCAGCGCCAGCCAGCCCTCCCTCCCCCCCTTCTAGGGCCGCCCCAGGGAGCCTGTGCTTTGGCCGCTCCTCCTGGGTGCCACTGCAGCCCCGTGCTTCCTAGAGAGACCGCACCACATGCGCCTGAGGCTGGCGGGCGGGGGTCCCGGGCCACACTGGCCCCTCAGCAGAGTGCAGGAGCACCGGCAGTGTCCTAGCTTGCTTTCCTCCTCCCTCCTTTTCACTCTCAAGTTCCTTTTTACTTCTCCCTTGCGTAACGCCCTTCTCCCTTCTGCACCACTGTCTGCACCTCCTGTCACCCACTCCTGGAGCCACAGCTGTTGGCAGGGTCCCCAGCTCATGCCAGCCTCATCTCCTTCCTTTCCGGCCCCCAGAGGGCCGCCGGGAGACATGGGGGGCCGGGGCCGAGAGCCGGCACTCTCGGTTGCCCTCTGGTTGAGTTGGGGGGCGGCCCTGGGGGCTGTGGCTTGTGCCACGGCTCTGCTGATCCAGCAAACAGAGCTGCAGATCCTGAGGAGAGAGGTGGCCCAGCTGCGGAGGACCGGCGGGCCCTCTGAGAGGGGGGAAGGGCATCCGTGGCTGAGCCTCCAGGAGCAGGTGAGTGCGGGGAGGAGGGTGTCGGGAGGGGAAGGGTCGGTGGCAGGTCGTCTCTGGCACTCTTGGTCCCAGCCGCCTGGTCGGCAATGTCCCCAGTGGGTACCGGAGAGGGTCCCGGTTTTGGAGGTCAAGAGAGCAGCCATTGCAGTAAAGGAAATTGTTAAAGATTAATGCTTCTTGTACCTACCAGATCCTGGAGGGCAGCCAGCACCAAGACTCGGGTTGCTGGGGAAAGGTGCGGAGGAGAGGCATTCTGGGCAGGGCAGGGCTGGGCGGAAAGGCTGTCTGGGACCCTTGCATCTCGGCCTAACCCTGACTCTCTTCCCGTGAGCAGGGCCCCGAAAGCCCGGAAGCCCCGGAGAACGGGGAGAGAGCCCGGCGGAGGAGAGCAGTGCTCGCCCATAAACAGAAGAGTGAGGCCTTCGGGGTGCCGCGGGGTGGGAGGTGATGAAGCAGCATGAAGACTCGGAGATTGTCACCCCGAGTCAGGGTGAGGGTGGAGGGCTGACTACGGGGCACGGAGAGCAGGTGGGCATTGCTGAGATTTCCTCCTTCTCTTCCACAGAGCGGCACTCGGTGCTGCATCTTGTCCCCGTTAACATGACCTCCAAGGGTGAGCACTGTCCTCGATGGCTTTGTGGGAAAGGGAAGGTCTGGGGGCTTCGGGGCTGGTACCCGGCCGGAGCGAATCTTCACGGTGAAAAGTAAGGATGCCCAGGAATACTGACTGCCACCCTCCTCACCTCCAGAGGACTCGGATGTGACAGAGCTGATGTGGCAGCCAGCTCTGAAGCGTGGGAGAGGTCTGGAGGCCCACGGATACGTTGTTCGCGTCTGGGAGGCTGGAGTGTATCTGCTCTATAGCCAGGTAACCCCAAACAAACGCTGAGCCCCACACGGGGCCTGGAAGCCAGTTTTTCCAGAGCCTTAGGCTCCAACACTGAGGGTTCTCAACCCTCTCTTCACATCAAACTTAGAAGACCCTCCTCTGTTCCTTGGCAGGGCCCTGAGGCCGCTCAGAGCTGAGCCCTACCATCCTGTCTTCAACATCTCCTCCCTCCCCTCCCAGGTCCTGTTTCATGATGTGACTTTCACCATGGGTCAGGTGGTGTCTCGGGAGGGCCAGGGAAAGCAGGAGACGCTGTTCCGATGTATTCGAAGTATGCCCTCCAACCCAGACTGGGCCTACAATAGCTGCTACAGTGCAGGTAACAGCTCTGTGGGCAGAGGGGAGACGGATATGAGAAGAGCAGGACCTATCTGACCTGGGGGCAGTGGTGGGAGAGTTATGACAGGGTGTTGGAAGCCTGTATGTAGAGACGGATCTAAGGAATGAAGGAGAGAAAGAGAGAATAGCGACATCCTTACAGGAAGTAGAAAAAGGTTGAGTTGGGGGAGGGCAAATAGCTGTCCTTCACTGAGCATCTATTTCCTCTCTCTTCTCAGGTGTCTTCCATTTACACCAAGGGGATGTTCTGAGTGTCACAGTCCCCCGAGCAAGGGCAAAACTCAGCCTCTCTCCACATGGAACCTTCCTGGGGTTTGTGAAACTGTGATGGTTATAAAAGGTGGTCCTGGGCTTGGAAGGCCAGAGTGGTTTGGGTACATTTGGGAGTCAGCCAAAAGCTGACTAGACAAAGGACAGGGAATGGGAAGGAACAGAGGTTTCTTCTGGGTTTAACTGGAACCCTCACTCTAATAACTCATGACTCGCTGTTCCTCCCTTTTCCCTTCCCACCCAACGCCTAGACTTTGATTTCATGAATATAAAGGAGGTAGAATATCTTGCTTTTGTCTCTGATCTAGCCTCAAATTCTTGGGGCTGTGGAGGGTGAGGAGAGAATGCCAGGCATTGTCTAGACCGGCTTCGGGTCCCCCTGGAATGCTTCCAGAGCAGCACCACCACCTAGCGGCAGCTTGAGGGAATCGCCCTATTGGCAGAAGTCCACAAAGCCTCCTCACACGCAGGAAAACTCCAGTTCCCTGTGCCACACCTTCCTCCAGGCATCCTGTCCCTTCACCGCTATCCTCACTTCCCCGGATCTGCCGCGCCTTAGCTTCCATCACTAGAGGACTATTTATTATGGGACTCTGCGGGGGATGCCCGACGACGACCGGTCCCCAGTTTTGCCCTTCATGCTCTGCATTCCCCGGCGTGGCAGGCCACTCCGAACCCCTCCGGGCTGAGACGGGTCGCCGGGGAGCCTTGGATGAGTCGTTATGTCTTGATGCTGGTCTTGCCTCACTCCTGAGCTCTTTGTTCTACTCAAAGTTAATAAAGGAGAATAAGTGATACCTCGGATCCACTTCCCCCACTGCCTTACCTCAGCCCCGTCCCTCTACTCGGGACCTCCTGCCTCGTGGCACCCCCTGGCGCACCCACTACACGAAGGGACCGGGCCCCCCGGCGGCAGGGGCCGCGCAGGCGCAGAAGGCAGAGCGGCGGTCCCGCGCGCAGCCCAGGGCGGCGGTGGGCGGGGCGTGCGGCTGGGGGCGGGCCCGTCCCGTGGCGGCTACGTCCCCGGGTGGGCGGGCCTCGGCGCGTGGTGGCCGCGCCGGCGCCGTTCGCCGAGTGTGACGTAGTAATCGTGCGCCGCCACCGCCGGTGGGCCTGGGGCTCGCGGGAGGGGAAACAGGAGGAGGAGGGGGGGGCGGTGGAGGTGGAAGCTCAAGCAGAGCCAGCGGCAGCCGCGGCGGGGCGGCTCGGCGGCGCGGCGCGCGGCCCGGAGCCGTTGGAACCCCGATTTGCGGCGGCTGCGCCTGAAGACAGCAGGAGTGGCGGGGCCGCCGCCGCCACCGGAGAGATGAGCCGGGAAGCCTGAGGCCGGAGACGCCCGCCCTCGGGCCCGTCAGTCCGGCTTCGCCGCTCCCGGTGAGGACGCCCCTTCCCCCCCCACCCCCAGCCCTGCCCCGGCCGTTCCCGGACCTCGTTCCCACCTAACCGGGACTCACGAGGCCCTTGAGGGGGTTTCTCCAGGCCCTCGCGCTCTGAGCGGTCCGCTTAGGACTGTGCTGCTGGGACCCATTCTGGTCCCCGGGGACCGCAGGAGAGGGGGCTGGGCCTGCCCGGCTCGCTGGCTCCGTTTTCCCCCAGCGCCGTGATTCGGGTGCTCAAGCAGCCGGCTGGTTCCCCTTCGGTTTCCTTTACATGCTTCCCTTGTCATTAGGTCCTACTACCTGAACCACGGCTCTGGCATCCCCAGTCCCTCCTGAGACGGTCTGAGCATGCTTCCTCTCCCCCACTTCATTCCAGGCTGTTAGAGAACTCTTCCCACTCTAGGCCACCGTTTCCTTTGGAGGTTGTGTTCTCCTCATGTACAATGTCAGTATTCCCCGGCTGAGCCATATCCTTTATTAGGCTCTCAGGACACTCCCGGTGGCATTACAACAGCGAAGTAGAGCCTGAAAATTTTGGGTTTGACCAAGTGAGATCCCTAAGGCCTGCTGCTTTAGCCATTCTCTTTTTCCTCTATCGGGGTAGGAAAGAGATGACGGCACAGTTGCTAAAGGGTCCCTTATGGACCATGTTAACCAGGAAAGTCTGAAGTTCGTTTGGCTTTTATCTCCCTCTTTCTTTTTTGCATTTCTCTGAATCCTGGTTTATTCGCATCTGATTCCAGAGCAGGCATGCTGAGGAAGAAAGGCAGGGCCAGGGAAACAATGTTTAGATTCTGACACTCCTTTGTTTTACAGGCTACTGGAAGATGAAAGAGACTATACAGGGGACCGGGTCTTGGGGGCCTGAGCCTTCAGGACCTGGCATAGCTCCAGCTTACTCCAGCCCTAGGCGGGAGCGTCTTCGTTGGCCCCCACCCCCCAAACCTCGACTCAAATCAGGTGGAGGGTTTGGGCCAGATCCTGGGTCAGGGACCACAGTGCCAGCCAGACGCCTCCCTGTCCCTCGGCCTTCTTTTGATGCCTCAGCTAGTGAAGAGGAAGAAGAGGAGGAGGAGGAGGAAGATGAGGAAGAGGAAGTGGCAGCTTGGAGGCTGCCCCCCAGATGGGGTCAGCTGGGAGCCATCCAGCGCCCTCGCCCTCCCCCTCCCCGCCCTACTCATCGAAAAACCTCACAGCGCCTCACACAGCGCCGTCGCAGAGCTATGAGAGCCTTCCAGATGCTGCTCTACTCAAAAAGCACCTCGCTGACATTCCACTGGAAGCTTTGGGGGCGCCACCGGGGCCGGCGGCGAAGCCTTGCACACCCCAAGAACCATCTTTCACCCCAGGAAGGGGGTGCGACACCACGGGTGCCATCCCCCTGCTGTCGTTTTGACTCGCCCAGGGGGCCACCTCCCCCTCGGCTGGGTCTGCTAGGTGCTCTCATGGCTGAGGATGGGGTGAGAGGGTCTCCACCAGTGCCCTCTGGGCCCCCCATGGAGGAAGATGGATTAAGGTGGACTCCAAAGTCTCCTCTGGACCCTAACTCTGGTAAGGTGGGAATAGGGTGGAGGAGGGGGGGGGGGCTGAGATTCTGGAGAACCAGGAGCCCAAGGAAAGTTGGATGGCAGAGTGAGGGCAAGGGAAGTGGTGGTGGTGTCCAGAATAGCTAGCTGTGAAATTAAGCCCCACTTTCAGCAGGAACTAAGGGGATGTAGTCAAGGCTGGGATACAGAATCCTTAAGTGTTCGTTCTGTGCATAGGTGAAAAAGGGAAGACATGGTTTAGAAAAGTGCGTCTTTGTCTTCTTGAAATCCCTCTTCATTCAGTCTTTGAGGATAAAGGCCCTGCGGGTGCATCTCCAGAGGGTGCCATTCTCAGCGGTGGGATGGGATCGTTAGTTATGGAGTGTAATCACCTATATGATTGTGTGTGAAATCCTCATTCAGAGTATTTCTCTTTTGGAGAATCACACTAAACAATTAGGCGGTGTTTTTACTAATTATTTTTTGAGAGCCTTTGCTTATGTCAGGTACTGTGTTAGGTGCATCTCTCTGACTCCCTAGTCTTGCTTTTCTCCCTGTGAGTACAGTTGACCCTTAATACAGATTTGAACAGTGTGAATTCACTTATATTTGAAGTTGGCCCTCCGTGTCTAAGTTTCACATCTGGGAATTCAAACAATCATGAATCAAAGACTTTGTTTTGTTAATCCTCACCTAAGGATATATATATATATATATATATATTTTAATTATTGTTGAGAGAATAGAAAGGAGAGGGAGAGAGAGAGAGAGAAACATCGATGTGAGAGAGATATATTGATTGGTTGCCTCCCACATATGCCTCCTGACCGGGGCCGGGGCCTGGGACTGAGTCTGCATCTGCAGCCAAATTATGTGCCCTTGACCAGAATGGCACCCAGCCCTTCAGTCCTCAAGCTGATGCTCTAACTACTAAGCAAACAGCTAGGCCTCAAAGACTATTTTCAGTATGCAGTTGGGAATCCACAGACGCATTGTGCTCTGTGGATTTGAGCATATGTGAATTTTAGTATCCACAGGGATCCTGGAATCAATCCCCCCCAGATACCATGGGACAGCTGAGTTTTGGGGGAGTTAAAGTTATACCTGTGTGAGGGGGGAGTAGTGTCCTTAACCCCCGCATAGTTCAAAGGTAGACTGTAGTTAACTCTTCCTCTGTGTCTCTATATAACCTCTTGGACATGCTTAGCTCATGCTTTAGGGTCTCCTTTCCTTAAGAGTTTATATTGATCTTCCCATTGTCCTTTGATCTGAACCAATTTTTCATCCCCATCCTGTTCCCCTGCCCTACAGGCCTCCTCTCTTGTACTCTGCCCAACGGCTTTGGGGGACCATCTGGGCCAGAAGGGGAGCGAAGTCTGGCCCCCCCTGATGCCAGCATCCTCATCAGTAATGTGTGCAGCATCGGGGACCATATGGCCCAGGAGCTTTTTCAGGGCTCAGATTTGGACGCTGCAGAAGAGGCAGAGCGGCCCGGGGAGAAAACTGGCCAGCATAGCCCCTTGCGGGAGGAGCATGTGACCTGCGTGCAGAGTAAGGAACCCTAGAGGCCCCAGTCTCTTCCCCTCAACAGACTCCTAGATGAGAGTCTGGAGGTCTTACCCTAGTACTCTTTCCCTCCTGTATTCAGGCATCTTAGATGAATTCCTTCAAACTTACGGCAGCCTCATCCCCCTTAGCACTGATGAGGTAGTAGAGAAATTGGAGGACATTTTCCAGCAGGAGTTTTCTACGCCTTCCAGGTGAGGCATCACAGAGATGCCCTTTAGAAGAGGGCTGGGTTAGCGGGTGGACAGAGAACGCTGCTTTTCTGTCAGGGATGTTCTTGGGGAGGAGGAGGAAGCTAGAACTGAAGCAGGGTAATCTGTAAGCAAGGTGCCTGGGAGGGTCTTTCCCAGAATCCTGCAGTTCTGTGTGTACCTGAGTATTGGCGTGCTTCTTTCTGAGCAGTAGGCCTTCAGCAGGTCTCAAAAGAGACCCATGACTTAGAAAAGGGGGGGAAGATTAGACTCTTATCGTAGACAACAGAAGGGACCTCTGTGTGCCCTAGCCCCCTTGTCTCTTGAGTGACCCCATCCTTGGCCCACTCAGGAAGGGCCTGGTGCTACAGCTGATCCAGTCATACCAGCGGATGCCAGGCAATGCCATGGTGAGGGGCTTCCGAGTGGCTTATAAGCGGCATGTGTTGACCATGGATGACTTGGGGACCTTGTATGGACAGAACTGGCTCAATGACCAGGTGAGGAGGAGAGAAACAGGCCCAAGAGGGAGCAGGGTGTCTGGGGCCCTCTTTGTGGGAAAGACCCCTTTATCCATATCACACTCTCATGGCAAGTTGCCTCCCATCTTCTCCCCAGGTGATGAACATGTACGGAGACCTGGTCATGGACACAGTCCCTGAAAAGGTAGGCCACGCAGGTACCCAGGAGAATTTCCACAGTTCTGAGCAGCTTTTCAGTCCCTTTCATCTCCTGTTTTACATCAAGAGGGTCCTAGTTTCTGGGAGAGGTGGTAGAAGGCAACCTGTTAAATTCAAATCTATAATGTTGGTCCTGAATTTAACAAATCTGTTTCTTTCCCCCGGTCTTTAGTGTTTCTCCCCTATGGCTAACCCACAAGTTGGGGTAGGAAGCTCTAAGATAAAGTTACAAACATGTTTGGGATTTTTTCTCTCTCAGTGAATTGGAGTGCAGGTTGTTGAAAGCAGTCTTTAGCCATAGAAAGGAGAGGACACCGGAGGCCTGAGGTTTTTAATTCCATCCAGCTCTTTTCTATCATTGGCACAGGTGCATTTCTTCAACAGCTTCTTTTACGATAAACTCCGCACCAAGGGTTATGATGGGGTGAAAAGGTGGACCAAAAACGTGAGTTATGAATTCACATCTACTTATGTTAACATCTTGTCTTTAAAGAATTAGAGTTCTATTTTTATGAACTCTTTCCTCAACCTGTTCATTCAATTCTTCAGTATTTATCAAATGT